TGTGGGCCTGTGGCTGGAGGAAGATAAGAGGGAATGAGGCCTCTGCACTGGGCCTGTTTCCAGGAGCTGTGCACTTGCCTAGTCTTCTTTTCTAGGTTATAATTGTTCCTCAAGAAGGGTTGCAGAGCATGCTTTGGTTTCCCTTTCTCTCTGGGTCTATTTTGGGAGCCGGTTTAGAAGTTCTGTGGTTTTTGTTGACTTTTTTTTTCCTTGAGTAAAAGCACACATTAAGGGGAAAAAAAAAATCTCATTCTCATCGGCTCTTCTGACGTTGCTGGGAGACAAAGCAAGCAGGACCAAGTCTCCAAATGGGCTTTAAAGGAGAAATATTTTAAATAAAGCCCTAAAGCAGAAAGCATCACTTGGAGACATGTTGTACATTCTGATTTTCCTCCTCTTGCTGCAAGGGAAGGGATTTCCTGAGCCTGTACAAAAGCAATTTAGAAGAGCCCCACGGAATTCTTGGAAGCTGTAGGACCATGCATTCTCATGACCTAGACTGAAAATGGGGCACCAGCAGGGCTCCTACTCCAAGTTACCCCAAACCTCTCATTTTTTCCCAAGTGTCTTTGCATTTTGATCTTCATCAGTTAAATCCATGGCAGGGATGGGTCCCTTGGGTGAACCCAGATGAATTCAATGGCTATTAGAGGGGCAGTGGGTCATGGCCAATATGTCAACACTGGAACTGAGGAAAAGACTAGTTTTCCAAGCTTGCTACAAGCAACAGAATCCTTGGACAAAGAGGGAATGGAAGACATGGTTAGTGAGCGACTTATTGACACTGAGTGTGTGGCACAGGCTAGAGAGCTCTGGAGTGTAGGCTCAAACTTGGGTTAACACGACTTAATTCTTGTTAAAGAGCATGTGGTATTTATTCCACATTGGAGTTTCTGGAGCAGGATACGCATCTACTCTATGGCTTTGACCACAATTTTTAAGGAATAACTGATAAAAAGAACCAATGAAACTCTTATCTGACCTTTCCCTTTAGTGTCTTCCCCAGCATACCTACTAGCACAGCCCTGGAATGCATTCCATGGAAGAAGGAGCCGGGCCAAAGACAGAAGGGGTGGCCAGAGGTGATGGGATAGGAGCTCTTACTTAGGATGGACCCCAACTGGCCAGGTCTGGTTATCCCTCAGAGGGTGGGGAAGGTTCTGCCCCCATCAGGCTGCTTAAGGCCCACAAAATCATTTGGTCTAACACTGCCAAGGCAATGACAGATGGGACTCCAAAATCAAAACACAATCCAGGGGCCAGTGCTGTGGCACAGAGGGTTAAAACCCTGGCCTGAAGCGCCGGCATCCCATATGGGCACTGGTTCTAATCCTGGCTGCTCCTCTTCCAATCCAGCTCTCTGCTGTGGCCTGGGAAAGCAGTAGAAGATGGCCCAAGTCCTTGGGCCCCTGTAACCACACGGGAGACCCAGAAGTAGCTCCTAGCACCTGGCTTCAGATTGGTGCAGCTCTGGCCATTAAGGCCAATTGGGGAGTGAACCAGCGGATGGAAGACCTCTCTCTCTCTCTCTGTCTCTACCTCTCTACCTCTCTCTGTAACTCTTTCAAATCAATAAAATAAATATTAAAAAACTACAGTCTATAGCAGGTTAATAATTTGTATGACCTGCAAATGATGTTATAAATATCCAAATGGCCCTTGAAAGAAAAAGACTCCCCACCTCTGCTAGAGAGCAAACTCCATTTCTATGATTACACAAAACACTTTTGTCCTGGGCTCCATCACCTCCTGGTCTTACAAACATTCCAGAGGACTTTTCCAGTACTGACTTACAGAGATAATCAGACATTATTTTGTGTTGTTCCTACAACAAGCCTGGGAAATAGGGTGGGTAAATATTATTAACTCAATTTATAAATAAGTATTCTTACCAAAATTTGTTAAATGATCAGTCAGGGAAACCCAGACTATAGCTTAGTTCCCATTTTCTTCTGTTTCTATGCTAATTGCCTCTTGTGGTAGAAAATAATGCCAGAATGGACCCTCATTTTACTGCAACTTTTCATTTTATCTATAAGTGGATGCCATTGATTGTCACATCAAACAAAAGTTAGGCAAGAGAAAGAGGGTTTTTCTCCTACCCTAGCATTCAGAGAACGCCTCTCTGAATGTCACTGAAGCCTCACCAGATTTACTCATCTCTTCACCACTAGATCACTCAGGGTTCTAAGAAGAAGATCTTGGCAGCCCAGGTGGGCTGGCTTGAGGGGAATGCAATGAGGGCACTACCTATAGCCACAATGGCAGGGAGTAAGGAAGGGCCTGGTACAACAAGTGCCTCCCCAAGAACTTGGAAGGCCGAAACACTGATGTCATCCCAAGACCTGAAGTGTGAATAGTTACTAGACCATTAGCTGGAAGAAACTATCATAAAGGCCTCTCTGGCATGTAAGATCTGTAACTGAAGAGCACAGCTGTCCCACCATACACCCAGAAGGAAGGAACAGCAAAATCCTTACCAGACCCCACTCTCCCTCCCAGCTTCTGCAACTTACAATTGTTTTGGAAACCAGAGTGTTGATATGGCTCCCACAACTCAGCTCTTTAGAAGTGGAACATGGCAGGTACCTAGCCATGCCTTTATCATGGTCTTCAACATCACAGGATAGATTCATGATAGAATGGGGTCCTTTTATCTGAGTTTTTTTAATATGGACTGTGTATCAATGACAGATTGACTTACTGCCACCCGCCCAACTTATAAGATAAAGATAAAACAGTAATTTGCTCCTCCATCCTTTCTTCACAGTTGCAACACGTTTTCCCAGCTTGGTTGGTTGGTTGGTTGCATTTTGTAGTTGTTTTACCCTTGACTTTGGAAAAAGAAGATGACAAATGAGCTTGGGATTGAGCAGCAGGTAAAGGTGCTGAGAGAAGGATAGCAAAAGTCTGGTTTTATTGAGTGACTGTGATATATGGGACACAATATTCTGATATTAGTAATTTGACTTGAGTTAAGAAGGTCCAATAGGCTTTTCCTGATTAAAAGAAATCCTCTTTCTCATTTTGAAGAATCTTCATGGCCGGCGCCGTGGCTCAATAGGCTAATCCTCCGCCTTGCAGCACCGGCATACCGGGTTCTAGTCCCGGTCGGGGCGCCGGATTCTGTCCTGGTTGCCCCTCTTCCAGGCCAGCTCTCTGATATGGCCCGGGAGTGCAGAGGAGGATGGCCCAAGTGCTTGGGCCCTGCACCCGCATGGGAGACCAGGAGAAACACCTGGCTCCTGCCTTCGGATCAGCGCGATGTGCTGGCCACAGCATGCTGGCCGCGGCAGCCATTGGAGTGTGAACCAACGGCAAAGGAAGACCTTTCTCTCTGTCTCTCTCTCACTGTCCACTCTGCCTGTCAAAAAAAAAAAAAAAAGAATCTTCATGACTCCTTTTAGAGGGCTTGTTTTTCAACCAGAGCAAAGTACAACTTAAGATCATAGCCACACAGGCAGGTTAACACAACCCGGACACGTCCTTCCAAAGGGAGCAGGACACAGGATGGATGAGGTCAGAGAGAACAAACAAAAGGCAGAGCTGAGCTCACTGGGGAAAGGAGTGTTGCACAGAACTGGTCGGAGCTGAAGGTGGCTCTGGAGACTTGGAGACCCACAGGTACAGGTCAAGGTCATTAAGACAAAGTTGATGAAAATGTTGACACCAATATTCACTTCTTTCCAATATGGACTAATGCCAGTGAAAGCATAACCTAGCATCTCCCCTCTCTTCCTCATGGCTGTATTCTTCAGCTGATAGAAAACCAAGAAGGTTGGTCTGCTCCCCTTTGTTCTCCTTCTCTTCCCTAACTCCCAGTCTTGGGGACTCGGCCAGGATGAGGGCTACCTTTCTGCTGTTAGAACTGTGTGTAATTAAACATTTTAATTAAACCCTCAAAGTGATTGAGCCTGTCAGGGTGTGGAAGGAAACAATACAGTTCCTTTCATCCAGTCCTATGGGCAGCCTGACATGGCACCAGAGTGAAAGCAGAGGAGCAGTGGGACTGAGTGTGATGGAGAGGCCGCATCCCAAGCCAGAGAGGAGTGAGCAAGGGCAGGTGCTAACTCTTCCCTGACTCTCTGACACTGCTGAGATACATATTTGCTGAGAAGCATGACAACCCCAAAGGAGATACGAATATGACAGCTGATGCACATTTGTGCGTTTTCCCTTCAACTGCTACTCCCTTAGAGTCTGCTGTATACAAAGCACTCTGGCTCAGTACGGTGGGCACAGACATGGGAAGGAACAAGTTAAAATAGTAACCAGCCAATGGGCTGAAATACAGGGGCAAGAGAGTCAAGCTTCTCAAAGCTTCTATGACCTACAACAGAACATCTCATAATAAAGCATAGATATTTTAATTCTTGGAAATCCTGGCCTTTTAAGACATTCACACAGATCTCCTGATTACAACGTCCCCAGCTTATCAGAAATTCCCATATTCCATCCTGACATTGAATGGGGGGAGCATGGGATACAGAGAGGGAAATACTCAACACCATGAGTTCACCTTCACAGTCAGTCTTCCATCCACACAGTGCATGGAGATTCAATGCTGTCAGTTACAGAGGTATAAGGGCAACTGTAGAAGTCTGTGGGAAGCTGGAATACAAATACTGTAAAATGTTTATGAAACCCATGCAGACTTTTTTCATAATGCGTATTTTCCAAGAACCTTGAGAACACACCTTGTGAATCCAAGTCCTCAAGTATAGAGGTGACAAAAATACAGCAAAGCTCACAGTCCTGGAGTTAAATTTTCTTACCACAAACTCCAACAAGTTAATCTGGCCCTGTGCATTTAGAAATACACTGAACCTACAGACTTTCTGATGAAACCAATTCTCAGGCTTTGACAACTCCCTGTGAAACCCAGTTAACAGCTTGGATTCACAAATCCCCAGTTCCCAGCTCTTCCCGTCTCATCAGCATAGTGACTTGAACAGACTGTGCCATTTAAAAACGCTTCTCTATCTTTCCTTCCACCCCAGGAGTCTCGGCACCTTCTACCCCTTGCTGGCAGTGACATCTTGACCTTGGAGAATTCGTGATTCTAGAAACACAGACAGACCTGAGCAGTGACATCAGTTGCCAAGAATGATCCGAAGACAGGAAAAACAAAATGGAATAAAACTCAGAGCCTAGCACAGGAGATTTGCTTAACCAAGAGCCCTTTCAATAACCCAATTCAGAAAGACAGGGAGAATTAGGCTGGCGCCGCGGCTCAATAGGCTAATCCTCCACCTAGCTGTGCCTGCACCCCGGGTTCTAGTCCCAGTCAGGGCACCGTATTCTGTCCCGGTTGCCCCTCTTCCAGGCCAGCTCTCTGCTGTGGCCAGGGAGTGCAGTGGAGGATGGCCCAAGTCCTTGGGCCCTGCACCCCATGGGAGACCAGGAGAAGCACCTGGCTCCTGCCTTCAGATCAGTGCGGTGCGCCAGCCGCGGCGGCCATTGGAGGGTGAACCAACGGCAAAGGAAGACCTTTCTCTCTCTCTCTCTCTCCCTCTCTCTCACTGTCCACTCTGCCTGTCACAAAAAAAGGGGAGAATTTAGATGTTCTAAATTACAGAGGGAGATGAGGGAAGGCGAGTGCTTTAAAGCGATATGTCTCAAACCTCATCATCCACACAAATAACTTGGACTGTTGCAACAGATAGATTTTCATTCTCTATGTCCACAACGGAGTCCACATTTCTATATTTTCTGTGCCAAGAAATTAGAGAGGAATACAAGGTATATGATGAGAACCAAAATAGTTTTACAGTCAATGAGGGTGAAGCAGGAGGAGAAGGAAGGCCACCCTCTGGGGCAGAACGATGGCTCCTCCTGCTCAGGAGCTGGAGATGAGAATATGGCACCACACTCTGGAAAAGGAACCTTGCAGATGTGGTTCGGGGTTTGTCATGCATTGTTCAGGTAGCCACAGCGTAATCACAAGAATCTTCAAAATCTGAGAGCCTTTCCTGGTGAAGTCAGAGAACTGGCATGAGGAGAGGGGGTCTGAGATATAAAGCCCTACCATGTACAAGGGCAGAAGACACCTCTAGGAGCTAGTAACACCCCACACCAATGCCCAACAATGAACATGAAATCTGAAGACGCAGCGTTTAATCAACAGGAAATGAACTCCAGCGATGCTTGAGTGAGCAATGCACGTGCTTCTAACCAGAAAGGAACACTGTCCAGTCTACCCCTACTTTTAGCCTGGTGAGACTCACAGAGATGTCTCATCAATGGAAATACAGGGTAATAAATTTGTTGTTTTAAGCCACTAAGTTTGGGAGCACAAAATGAATCTGCTACTCATCAGACTGTGGTGCTAGTGTAAGAAAGCTCACCTATCTCCAAGACAAAACCAAAGCCGTCCTTCCTGCTTCTAATCTCTTCCTGTAGCTGACTTCACAGCAGCTGGAGAGAGCTCTCTAACACTTCATCCTGATCCTGATTCTTCTCTGCCCCTTTAAAACTCAATGGCTCAACCATCTTCACAGGAGTCACTTTCTTTGTAATGTGGCCTTGCCTAGTTAGTGAGCACGTCTCCACCAGTGTGGCCAACAAGCTTGCCTGAGCTGACTCACCACGTGAGACTGTCCTCTGTGACAGAGGTGCCTGCTAAACCTCTCAGTCAGATGGTTCTGCCATCTGCTATGCTGCTGTCATTGCCTGCTTGTCCAAGTCCTCCATGAGAACAAGTGGCCTCTCTCCCCACCCCTCATCCTCAGCTCTTCCAACAGGTGCCCCCAGCAGGTATGGGTTAAATGTTCTTCTCACTGTGGTGATAGGAAACACTTCTGGTCTTTTCCCCTGGTTTCTGTCATGTGGCTCCCAAACCCTTGGCACTTTCTGAGTGACAAGAGTAATTTTGGGGGCTGGCACAGTGGCATAGTTGATAAAGCTGTGGCCTGCAGTGTCAACATTCCCATATGGGTGCTGATTCAAGTCCTGTCTGCTCCACTTCTGATCCAGCTCTCTGCTATGGCCTGGAAAAGCAGTAGAAGATGGCTCAAGTCCTTGGGCCTATGCACCTATGTGGGAGACCTGGAAAAAGCTTCTGGCTCCTGACTTTGGATCAGTGCAGCTCTGGCCATTGCAGCCATTTGGGGAGTGAACCAGCAGATGGAAGACCCCTCTCTCTCTGCCTCTGCCTCTCTGTAACTCTGCCTTTCAAATAAATAAATATTTAAAAAATAATAACTTTGTTATTCACGAGCACCTTGATAACAACCGATTTTATATTAATGTGGTAACTTAGGATGGGTCCCTTAAATACTCTATGACAGGCCCATCCCCAAGGGATTAGATTCAAGGGCTGGAACTTTCTGCCCTACCCCCAGCCTCCAGGGAAGTGAAGCTGTAGCCCTGTAAAACATATGAGCAAGCAATGGGGAAGCTGCGCACATGGAGGTGCTGGGAGAGTGGTGCCCAGAGCGGGCACCCTCACCCCACAGGCCTTGCTCTATCCATCGCTTCAGCTCTGTGCTTTGTGATGGCCTTTACAACAAACAAGGACACATTCAGTGTTTTTCTGAGTTGTAGCAAATGAATTGAACCTAACAGGGGGTCGTGGGGACCAATGGTTTATAGCCAATTGATCAGGGGTCCAGGTCATGGTCTGGGGCTTTCATTTGAAAGCAAGGCAGTCATGAGGACTGAGCCCTTGACCATGGGATCTGACACCACTTCCAGGTGAATAGAGCCAGAAGGGAATGGACTCAGCAGACACTCAGCTGGTGTGTGTCGGAGAACTGCTTGGTGTGTAGAAGAAGACCCCACACATTTAGGACTGGAAGTGTTCCATATTGAAGGTGAGAGTTTAAAGCAAAAGCAGTAGAAGTTTCCTCCTTTGGCCACCCTTCAGGTAACTGCTGCTTCAAGCTGAGTGCTATTTCCAAACTATGCAGACAGAGACAATGAGGAAATCTCTGAAAGCTCAGCCCTTGTGAGCTCACCTCATGTCTGTCCCATTGCAGTCGCTGCAGCCAGCCCTGGAGCAGAGGCCATTCCAGATAGAAGGCAGAGCCAAGAGGGCACAAAGATGGCATGAGCCCACCAATGCCTGAGCTGTCTTCCAGGGATGGGGCTGGGGCAAAGAACATCAGAAAAAACAACTCCATGCAAAGTGTTCATTTGCTATTCCAAAAATAATGCATAGAGGAGCAGAAACATGAGCGTGAAGGGCTAGCAGAGTCAGGTAGAATGAATCAAGTTTTCCTGGAGCCATGCCGCAAGGTAAAATCCTAGCCAGAAAATACATATGAAGGTACTTCAAAAGAAGTGAAGAATGAAATGAAAAGATAACTTTATTTTGGTGCAAAACACTTTGAAATTGTATATACAAGGTGTCTTCAACAAGTTCATGGAAAATATATACTATAAAATCTATGAATAGATTTCAACTTTTTTGCACCAATATGATCTTTTTTTAGAAGATTTATTTATTTATTTGGAAGGCAGAGTTATAGAAAGGCAGAGAGAGAGAGAGAGAGAGAGAGAGAGAGAGAGAGAGAGATCTTCCATTCACTCCCCAAATGGCCGCAATGGCCAGGGCTGGGCTGATCTAAAGCCAGGAGCAAGGAACTTCTTTGGAGTCTCCCACATGGGTGCAGGTGCCCAAAGACTTGAGACATCTTCTACTGCTTTCCCAGGCCATAGCAGAGAGCTGGATCAGAAGTGGAGCATCCAGGACTCGAACCAGCAACCATATGGGATGCCCAGCACTGTGGCACAGCTTTACCCCCTGTGCCACAGGGCCAACCCACCCATATAATCTTTAAAGTCCATTTTTCTGCAAAGCTTTTAAGTGTCTTCATATTAAGCATTTGCTGCATGCCAAATGTTGTGTTTAGGTCTAAAGCTAAGATGACCCCTGCCTTCCATGAGCTCAGCTGACTACTTAGGACATGGACAGACACACAGACTGTGTACTGGGTGAGGTCAGTACCAAGAGGAATGAGGAATAGAAGATGTTTTCCTATAAGGAGTTATTCCTGGAGCATGGAAAAAACCTTGACACCATCCCAGGGGAGAGCAACAGCAAGGAGTGAGAGAGTGGAGAACGAGAGACCAACTGAGCTTCTTGAAAGGGAAAAAGGCCTGCAAGGACCTCAGCCCTTGGGTTGGCTTGCAGAAACCCAAGTGCTGGGTGCTCTCCCTGGATCCCAGCATCTGCTGAGTTTTCTCATGCTTCTTCAGCAAGGACCCTTAGCTCCAGCCTACGCCTACTGTGGGCAGCCTGGATCCGTGTGTCAGTTTTCTAGGGATGCCATTACAAATACCACAGACTGGGTAGTTTCAATGGCAGCAATTGATTCTTCCGACAGTTCTGGAAGGTGCAATTCTGAGATCAAGATGCTGGCAGGGCTGAGTTCTTCTGAGGCCTCTGGGTCCTGCAGAAGGCTGCCTTCTCACTACGTCCTCTCCAGGGTCATCCCTTAGTTTGTGTTCTAGTCCATTCTTCCCAAGAGGACACCCATTGTGTCAGAGCAGGGCTCATTCTCATGGGGTCATTCGAACTTAATTACCTCTTTACAGGCCCTACCTCCACATGCAGTCACAGGCCAGGACTTAATATACACATTTTTTTTATTTTTTATTTTTTTTGACAGGCAGAGTGGACAGTGAGAGAGAGAGACAGAGAGAAAGGTCTTCCTTTGCCGTTGGTTCACCCTCCAATGGCTGCCGTGGCAAGCGCGCTGCAGCCAGCGCACCGCACTGATCTGAAGGCAGGAGCCAGGTGCTTCTCCTGGTCTCCCATGGGGTGCAGGGCCCAAGGACTTGGGCCATCCTCCACTGCACTCCCTGGCCACAGCAGAGAGCTGGCCTGGAAGAGGGGCAACCGGGACAGAATCTGGCGCCCGGACCGGGACTAGAACCCGGTGTGCTGGCGCCGCAGGCGGAGGATTAGCCTAGTGAGCCAAGGTGCCGGCCAATATACACATTTTAAAGGAACATATTTCAGCTCAGAGCACTCAGAATTTTGCTCTTTTGGCTCATTCCTCAGACTCTAGTGCAGAACTTGGCTATGCTAATTTGTTTAAGGGATCTTCCCGGTACCACGCTGCTACATAAGAACTCTCAATGGCTGTTTGGTGTTCAATCACTTTCTTTACCATTCAAAGCCCCCAAGACCCTGCCTCCTCCACTAATGCCTGCATATGCTTGCCCCACTACAGAAATGCCCTGTCATATTGTACCAGGCATCCTGCTCATTACAAAGCATTTTTCATGGGAGGACTGTGTACAATATTTTCTAACTTCTTCATGTAGAGAAATCTTTCCTAACTGATACCACAAACTCCCTTAAAACAGTGATGTTAGCTTAGGTTTCCCTCATAGTCTGCACACAGTAGATGTTCACTTATTACCAGGTGAGTGATTCATTTTATTCACTCACCTTATTGAGCTTAGGTTTCTAGAATCCCTGTACTTAATTCACCCTACAAACAGTTACTGAGCATGTCCCATGTTCCATAGACTACACCAAGCCTGAAAGAAATACAAAAGTTGAAATAATAATGGTC